ATCCAACACTTGCAAATATCATCCAAGTTTGCAAAGAAAAAGAGAAAGATAAGTCTAGAGCTTCACTTCTCAGATTGTTCCCAGCAAACATGTAGCCTACAAACACAAGAGCCGCCAGAAAAGCCATCAAATCCCCCAGGAAAGTGATGCCTTTGTCACCATCGGGCTTGCTAGCAAATGCGATGATCAAAACCCCACCTCCTTTGCTCAGGGGGCCAGGATAGAACAGCGATGATGAGCGGAGGCATCGAAACAAAGAGGAGGCTATGCGGAAGGAATGTGTGATCCAGTGACACATACCTGGATATCGATCGAAACAAAACATAGGCCGAAATGCAAGGCTACTGCAAGAGCACAGATTGCAAGCACGCAAAGAGGTCGCTAACAAACATGCATCGCTTCTGGGGAGAGAGGCACCACCAGTCCCAAATGAATCCAGGCAGAAGGATCATTGCCGTGACTTGCAATCTCCATGCTGCAGCGCAGTTTGGTCACCTAGATCGCATGATCAAGAGAAAAGTTTTCAGTGAATCAAAGCGCAGACCAGCACCAGCCACACGCACCATGGTGTCCGGGCAGCCATGGCTGGTACTTACGCCTTCCTCGCACACCATATATAAACCCTAATTTCGGCTATCACGAGAAGATTCGTTTGGGGCTTCTTCGCGTCTTCCTGGTGGCTCGTATTCTTTCGAGATTACTTTGGAATTCGAAGACACAACAAGATTTTTCTAGTTGGTTATTCCCAGAAAATGAATGCTTAGATTTTCTGATGTGAAAAAATTTCAGTTTGGTCCAGCTACCTATCCTTGACACGGCTAAGTTGTGATGCTTCCATCCAGCTTACAAAGAAACTGCATGTAGTATGGAGGTAGAACCTGACGTTAGAATTTAATAATGTTTGCTATGTTGACTTTGAATTGGACTGGAGTGAAGATTGTCAATTTGTGTTGTCAGGCAGCAACATTTGAAAAAAAATACTTGTGTTTTATCGAAGATTGTCTTTGAAAATGAGAGATTCTATATTTGATTCCACAAGCATACAATGTTGAAGAAATAACTTGAATTTGAAGTTTCATAGATGACATATCTTGAATAGAATTTTTTTATAGGGATTTTGAAAACAAGAGTACAACACTGAAGAAATAACTTGCACGTGAAATTTCATAGAAAGTGCAGTGACTTTGGTATATAAAATGGGGCTAGGTCTTTCACAAATATACAAGAGCAAGAGCAATTGGAAGATAGAAGATAGAAGTTTGATATAGAGTTTGAGGTTTGAGTATATTTTAAGGTTATGGCACCCGCTTATGATCCAACTTCTCCATTCAAAGGTGTAAAAGACTTAGTTGATCATAATGTTTTATCTCTCCCTAGTGCATATATAAAGCCATTCGAAAAGCGACATAATCCAGAAGAGGTTTTTGAAGGAATTGATCTTCCATGTGTTGATTTACAAAGCAAGACTGCAATGGAAGATATTAAATTTGCTTGTGAGGAATGGGGATTTTTTGAGGTAATTATGATCTTTATATGTGTTAAATTATATGTTTATTAATGTGTTTATTTTATAGCTGATTAATCATGGAGTGCCAGAAGATGTAATTGAAGATATGGTAAAAAACACACATACATTCTTCAACTTATCAACTACTGAAAAAATGAAATATTTTTCTGAAGATGTGTTTAACCCAATGAGGTTTTGCACGAGTCTTACTCCTAGTAAGGAATCTTACTTAGATTGGCATGATCATCTTCAACATTGGTTCAAATGTGACAATTTAAATAATCATCCATACCCAAATATTCCAATCCATTATGGGTATGTGACCATTATTATTATATTTAATACTTATCAAACTATTTGCAGGGAGGTGACTAAGAATTATGTAAAGAATATGCAAATATTGGGAAAACGACTACTTATGGTCATGTCAAAAGCATTGGGTTTACATGAGAATAAGTTGCAAGAAACATATGGCAATGAGGAGATGATTGTTCGATTGAATTACTATCCTCCTTGTCCAGATCCAGAACGTGCACTTGGACTTAATCCACACTCAGATAGTGGTGGTATTACAATTTTATGGCAGGACCAAGTTGGTGGATTACAAATCCAAAAGGAACGTAAATGGTATAATGTGAGATGTAACTCAAATGCATTAATTGTTAATGTTGGTGATCAAGTTGAGGTGAGTAAAATATAAATTAATATGTATATTTTATTTTAAACTGTGATGCTTGGGCAGATTATAACAAATGGAATATTCAAGAGTGTTATTCACAGAGCTATTGTGAATCGTAACTTATATAGGATGTCAATGGCATCCTTCTTCAATCCTTGTGCTCAAGCAACAATTACTCCTATCCAAGAGCTTTTAGACAAACAAAACCCAGCACAGTATAAAGCTCGATTATCAAAAGATTATATTGGAGACATCTATAATAAGTATATTGAAGGGAAAAATGTGAAACGAGAAGATTAAATTATATAATTGAAACTTACTGATCAAATAAGACATTTCTTTGTCATTTAATTTTTCAATATAAATAAAACAAAATGTTGTTAGGATTTTCTAAAGATTCATTTCAAATAGAATTTTTTATTTCTATTTAATAAAACTAGATGGTATAAATATTTTCAAAATTTATTACATTGAGAAGAAGACAATATAATGCTCTGAATTATACTAATTACTTGCTATACTTTTAACAAAATTTTGTATGAACTTGAAAGTTGCATTTTTCATAACATATTCATTAGATATTGAAATTTAATTTTTGGTTTGCTTAAGCAAACTGTATGGTAGTGGATATACTAGAATATGCTTGAATATTTTTGGATTTTTTACCATTTAACAGTTGTTATTCATAAGATTAATCTTGTGTTTATAAATTAAAAATATGCTTATAATTATAAACTTTATCTGATCAATTGGATTAATAAATAATAATAAAACTACTATTAAGCAAACCAAGTGTTCAGTCCACGTGGCATCCCATAGTGAAAAATCATTGCTACATGCAACACATAAGAATTTATTAATACAGTTTTCAAGATTACAGTTCCTCAACCAAAATTTACTAACCATCAATCTAAATAGACTTCTACTTCCCTCAGTTGTATTTATTAGGAATGAACTTCATTACTACCTGAACTATTTGATCCCTGACATCCTTCAAAATTGCTACTCTAATGTCTACTGAAAGAATATTTAAATTTAGTAATCTAGGATTATGAAGTAAACATATATAAGAAGTAAAAACCATTGTTAGCCATTTGTCAGAAGAACAAGACTGTTTTTAATAGTGTGCTCTTCAGAGATATACATTGTTTCTCTCCAAGTTTACAGTGTGAAAGAAATTTATTTTCCGTCACCTGTCATGATCTTCACCCGGCTCAAAAGTTCCAGAGTTTCACTGTCTGCCTCAATCTTAAACCTGGACAATATGCTCGAGTCTGCCTTGCGCTGAGAAGCACCGTAAACCTTGAGAAAACTGTTGTAGAGACGCACGTCCCCTGCAGCATGGTGGAGATAGTTTTGCATCAGCCCCTCGGCACTCTTCCAAAACTTGAGCTCCTCCAACACCGGCAGCAATGCCGCCACTGTCTCGTAGCTTGGAACCACCGATCGCACAGCACACCCTTCCTTGAACCTCTCCAGAGCTTTTTTGCTGTCATTCTTGGCAAGATATCCTCGGACGAGAGCGTCGTATGGAGCGAAAGTCCGTTTGGACTTGTCGATCTTCTCCAGCAGCTCCTCGGCCTTGTCCATCATTCCCGCCTTGGAGTAGACCTCGATCAGATTCACCAGCCGGAAGCTCTCCTTGGCATGGTCCTTAGAGTCCTCCACAACTTCTTCCGCTCGTTTCACCATTCCCAGACGCCCGAAAGCTCTCACTGCCACCCGGAAACTATCGCGGAGAGGAACCTGTGGAGGTTTTGGTGTCTTGACAAACTTGTAGATCTTTTCCACCTTATCGGCATCGCCCAAGAACGCATAGACTTCCATGAGGTGATCCAGCTTGTAAACGTTGGCCTTCCTGATCCTGATCTTCTCCACGAATGCCCGGATTTCTTCCTCGAGACCCTCCAATCCCCCGACTCTCTCCTTGTACTTGAGCATGAGGAGGTAAGTTTCCAGCTTTGGCAAGAGCTTGGGGTCGTTTCTGAAAGTCGTGTAGGCGGCCAGCATCTTGTCGTGCATCTTGAGCTTCCAGTAGACACGGATGATGGCGTTGTGAAGCTCCGCGGTGGTGGGATTCAAGCCTTGCACCCATCTCAGTGCGTGCTTGGGGTATCTCTTGGCTAAGCTCGTCACGAAAGCGACGGTGAGCTCCTCCGACTTGGACTTCACCGGGAGCCTTGAGTAGAAGCGTTCGGCTGGAGCCACTCCAAACTCCCGGAGAACCAAACCGAGTTCCAGTATGAGACTAGCGGTCCTGCTCTCCACGATCTTCTCATTGCGGCTGGTTTTCAAGAGCTACACGAACGAAATAAATCTAAGCACCGATGAAAATGTAGTAGAATATCAAGATACCTTCACAGCCTCTCTGTGGAGCTTGGGATGATCGGCCAAGGTCTTGGCGATTTGCAAGTAGTTCTTGTACTTCAACCGATTCCCTTGCGCGACCCAATCCTTGATGGCTTGAGTGCTCTCCTCAGGCTTGTCTGCGATACTCTTGCACAGCTTGACTAGCTGCTTCTCCTCCTCCTCCTTCTTCTTGCTCCTCTCATCCTCCCTCTGCTGCTTCTCATCCGCGACTGTGCTACATCCTCGAGCGCAAGAAGGCGCCGCTGCTGCGCGGAAGCGATTCAACTCGAGGCTGCCGATCGAAGAATGCAGGTGAGGCGCCAGTCGCGAATGGCAACGCGGAGCTGGGGACGTACCTCCGAGAAGCCGCGCCCTTCCACGCCCTCAGCATTCCTCGCATCGCCATTCTCGCTAGCCCTAGCTAAACCCTAAACCTTAAGTAGTGTAAATTGATTATCAAATTTCTAACAAAACACTTTTTATACATGGCAAAGTAAAAATTTGGTTTGATTTTCCAGTGGCTAAAGTCCGCGTTCTCGCTGGGGCATCGAATCGAAGACCTTCTTGGCGAGCGCTTCATCCTTTCTCTCAGTCCTCTCCAATCACAGTCACCACAAAATTTTCTACCCGGAAAGCCCCCGTCATCAGTAAGAAACACGGATCGCCGTTTCTCTCCAACAAAAAAAAAAGAAACGACAGATTCGAGAGGAGAATTAGTCGAAGAGACTGAGGCCCATATCATCATCAGATTCTTCTTCCGGCTCCACTTTCTTTTCTTCCTCAACCTTGCCACCGCCAGCAGCATCAGCCGGAGTTTCACTAGCAGCAGGAGCAGCAGCGACAGCAAACTTACTGGGATCCTGGAAAAGTTGGAAGAGAGAATGTTAGAGACCCTGCTGATGACAAGGAAAAGATCAAACCTTGAGATACTCCTTGGCAGTCTCGGCATGTGGATACGAGTAATCAGTCGCCAGAGCGACAGCAAGAACGTTCTTGTAAGAGTTGAGGAAGTAGTGCGTTGCTGCTGCCAGAGTTGGATAGCCGATAGCCAATGACAATGCTGCCACCGCCGAGACACCAGTGGCAAATCGACCGACGAGGTCGTCCTCGGTGAGATCCAGCACTGCGGGATCAAAGACGGAGCCATCGTCGTAGACCATCTGGACAACAAGCCCGTAAGAGAATGGCCTGATGCCCAGCTTTGCGAGCAGAGCTGCCTCCGAGGAGCCAACTTTCTCCCCCTTTTTGATGAGCTCCACGGACGAGACGATCTCGACAGTTCCCTTGTTAATCTTGGTGGGAATGTTGAGAACCTGAAAGTTTGATGGTTTTAGATAATCAATCACAAGTAACACAGAACGAGATAGTCCTATGGACGAACCTGGAAGAAAGATGTCTGCGATGGATCAAGACCAGTGCTTCCAGGAGGAATAGTCACGTCAATCGGTGCTACAAGCCCGACACGAGCTGGCGCTCCGACCTGGAGCAAATATATTCAAGCCGATTCAAAGACGAAAACAAAGATCATACCTTGTACTTGGCGACTTCCTCACGAACTTCTTTGAGATCGCCCTTGGTAAAGATCAGTCCAACGTTTCCCTGCCAAGATCCATGAGCTCTCGAGCAAGGAAAGTAAACTTTACAGAGAAAAAACGATTTTTTGCTTACCACCAAGAGAGGCATGAGACTAAGAACAGCCATGTTGCCGCTCCTCTCCGCGTAAGTCCTGATCGTTCGCTTCATCAGAGTGTTCTTACCCATGAGTACCACCGATTCCGGCCTCAGTCCCCTGCGGATTTGCTGCAGCTGAGTCGAGCCCACATTGTCGGCCGCGCAAATCAGCGCCTTGGTGTAGTTCTCCAGCAGGTCGACCATTTTCCTGTCATAGATCTCCTTCTTCTCCTGCTTCGTCCCCTTGAAACCCATCTCTAGTGATTCTTCTTCTCACTCACGGGGCCAAGCCAGCGAATCGATCGATGGCAAGGCGGAGGCGCGCCGCGCTTCTCTTTAACCCTGAAAATATGTCTTGGGTTTAGGGCTTTTATGAGATCTAAGGGTCGAGTCCCTTCTAGGAATTAGGGTTTTGCGCAGCAAGCGAGGCGGTCGCGATGGTAAGCGCTCTTGCTCGATTTGCTTCTTGCAGCAGCCCAGCTGATAGATTTTCGTCTGCGCCATCAGCCTCAGGGAGATTACATCGATTTGCACCGCAAGCGGCATGGGTACCGCCCGGATTACTTCGAAAGGAAACGCAAGAAGGATGCTCGGGAGGTCCACAAGCGTGCGGCCTACGCGCAGAAGGTAAGCGCCCTCTACATTTTTTTTTCTTTGCTGGTTGATCCTTACTTATTTGATTTCAGGCGATCGGTCTCAAGGGCAAGATGTTCGCGAACAAGCGATACAAGGAGAAGGCGTTGTTGAAGAAAACGTATGCTCTTTCTTTTCTCGCAGCTTCTTTGTTAATTCTTTCTCTCTTTTTCTTTGCAGGCTTGCTATGCACTCCGAGAAAGCAAACAGGCACAAGGTTGAGGATGACGTTCAGGAAGGCGCCATTCCTGCGTACTTGCTCGATCGTGAGGCGACTACTCGTGCTAAGGTGAGCAGGACATTTCTCTTTTTTTTCTCCCAAAACTCATTCTTTGTTTGCCTTAAAGGTTCTGAGCAACAGTATCAAGCAAAAGCGTAAGGAAAAAGCAGGAAAATGGCAAGTTCCGCTTCCAAAGGTAATCGCAACCATGCCTTCGATCTCATCATACATGTCTTGTTCCAGGTCCGACCCATTGCGGAAGACGAAATGTTCCGAGTTATGCGATCTGGCAAAAGAAAGAGTACTGTTTTCTTTGTCTTTCATTTTTCACCGGATGGTTTCTCATTGTTTTCTTCGCGTTTTAGCTAAACAGTGGAAGCGAATGGTTACTAAAGCCACATTTGTTGGAGCCGGTTTCACGAGGAAACCACCGAAGTACGAGAGGTTTATCAGGCCCATGGGGTTGAGGTTCACCAAGGCACACGTTTCACATCCGGAGCTCAAGTGTACATTCCAGCTTGAAATCCTTGGCGTGAAGAAAAACCCGAACGGCCCCATGTACACGTCCCTGGGTGTGATAACTAGGGGAACGATCATCGAGGTAAGTTGATGGGTTTCGTTTCCTAAGTTTTTTTATCATTCGAAATGTTTTCCAGGTAAATGTTAGCGAGCTCGGACTCGTAACTCCTGCTGGAAAAGTTGTATGGGGTAAGATTTTGGCGATCCGATTGAAAACGTTTTGCTAACTTTACTCATCTTGCCTCTCAGGGAAGTTTGCTCAAGTGACAAACAATCCGGAAAACGATGGCTGCATCAATGCAGTCTTACTTGTGTAACAACAAAGACTCCGTGAGCAAAATTTTGTGGCAAGTAAATCTAAAATCTATCGTTTGTAGCTCTGGGAGTTTTGTTTCTCCTTCTCAAAAGATGCTATCGGTGCTTCTTCCGGAAAGCAAGAGATTGAAGAGTGTATCGGTCGAACGATTTGTGGGCGTAGAGCTGCTCGCTTGCTCCGTCGGTGATGGATCGGTCACTTTTGCCACTGAAACGTATGCCACCTTTTTCGACTTGATCGCGCTTGCGTCTGGTGTGTCCAAGAACTTTAGAAACTCGGCTGCGGCTTGAGAGGGAGCCTGTGGATTTTTCGCAACGTCGGCTCCGCCGGCTAGAACTTCAGAAGAAGAAGAAATCCTCGCAGCTTGACGCAGACCTTTTAGAATGCGCGAAAGAATGAAAGCATTCTAGTAGAAGATGGAGAACTCACCACGCATATCCTTGCTTGGGCGATCTTCTACAAACCAATTAGCTTCAGTGTTGGCTTTCGCTTCCACTAGATTGTATTGGGCTCTTTCGGCATCCCATTTGCACTCCAGGGAGGCCGGGAGCTCTCGCTAGAAAATGGAGAACGCGTTATCAATACAATCCGAGTCTAGATCATATGCTACATACTTGGAGCTTGTTGAAAGTCACGAGAGAGTTGCCAGTACGAAGCTCGGCTGCTAAGAGGTTGTAGAGCGAAACGCAATCGAGCAAAAGCTACAAAGAAGATGAGCAGGAGTTTTGATTTTGCTTGTGACATGAGAAAGTTCTACCTGGAAGGAGAGAACTCGAATTCTTGCCAGGATCGACAAAACCGTCAGTGTGTAAGACATGAAACGTCCCTGCTCCAGCAATCCGGCCATTTGCCTGGTGAAGAAAAGATGGCGTTGAAAGAAAAACATGAGGGTCACGGAACTTACTTGCTCGCACCGAGGATGGGCGCATTTAGCTGAAGATGAAGAAACCATTTTCAGAGATTCTTAAGTTTCTTGCCAAAGAAGTACCTCGTGTAGGATCCTCGAGACTCCCCAGAGAATGTTTAAAACAGCTTCTTTTGATTCGGAAGCTACATTTTTGTTCCTTCTGCTTGTAAAGAACAAGTAAAATAGATCAAAAGAAGGGATTCCAGATCGCTACCTGCGTTTCACAGCAGGCTCGAGATGGAAATCGAGTGCCGAGAGGAAGGTATCGGAGGCAGCAACGCGAAGCAATTTGAGGCTCCTTCGTGCCTGGAAGAATGAAGAGTGAAATTTACAAACACCATGGCTGTGGATGATATACCTGGTGGAGCTTTCGGAAGTGGAGTGTGCCGCGATGCTGGCTCTTGCTCCTGTAGATGAGGCGCTCCAAGAGGGCGTCCTCCCTTTGCAGCGAAGATATGTGCTGCCTCACATCACTTACCATTCTCTTTAAACCCTAAAGTTTATTAGTAAAAACTTTATGGTTAATTAGTTTTTATTAAAGATATGATTTTAGAAAAGCCATGCCATTAATTGTAAGCCATAAATTTATCCGAAGCACCCATGTTAATAAAGATCTAATAAAGTTACTTTGGAGGTTCCCTCAATAATAATAATAATAAGTTATTATTATTATTTAAATTTAATTTTTTGTTTGCTTAAGCAAACCTATAGGAGAACTAAGATGATAATGTATGTTATTAAATAGTACTTGAATATTAACGTTACTTGAATATTTTAGAATATTTTACCATTTAACGGTTGTTATGGATTAATTTTGTATTTATAATTTATAAGCTTCCTTAAACACTTTTTAGTATATTCTTTTTTATTCTACTATCTAATAGTTGATATATAATAAGATTAATCTTGTGTTTATAAATTATAAACATGTTTATAATTATAAACTTTTATTTGATCAATTGGATTAATAAGTAAAAATAACATTACTATTAAGCAAAATTACATGCAGAATTCTACTTTATGCGTAATTTGTAAAAGTTTTGTAAATTAAAATTGAAATATGACAAGTACATGCAAGAATATACCAGGCATGTTGTTGTTTAGCCCTAAACATTCAGGAAGCTTCGTAAACCCGAGCATAAACCCTAAAGTCAGAGAGGGGAGGACCATCTGCGCTCGATAGACGCTAGGGTATGGATTGACGAGGCGCAGGCTGCGAGGAGCAGCTGCCAATTCCCAGAGTTTGCAAAGCAATTGTATGAGGGATGAGGGATTGATTGGGGAATCCTGCATCGCATTCCTGAGGTAAGATAGGGTTGTGTAGAGGCGAATTGAGCGATTCTTCTGGGCCTGGATTTAGGTCGGTATGCATCGAGTCGCGAGCACTGGCAACGCTGCAAATCCATCCCGGCCTCGGAAGGAACGTAGACTGACATATGTTTTTACCGATGCTGACGATTCTACGGTAAGCCAAAACTTTCCTTCTTTCTATTTGATTTTTTGTGCTCTAGCTAAGACTTCGTTCGTTCAGCACTCTTCTGGTGTCAATTGTGTGAAAGTCTCGTCTTCCAGCGATTTGTCCGATGGAAAAAGATCTCTTTTCAGTGGCAGTCGTGATGGAACGCTCAAAAGATGGGAGGTTGATGAAGAGGTCGCGACTTGCTGTGCTACTTTTGAGTCGCATGTCGACTGGGTATGTGTGGATTTCCATTTTTTCTTGTGATGTTAAAATTCTTTCACAGGTGAACGATCTTGTTCTCACAGGAGAAGACACTCTCGTGTCTTGCTCTTCTGATACCACGCTCAAGGTACTTCTAGTTTTTTCTCCAAGGCGTCTCTTAGTTTTCCTGATGCCACCAGACTTGGAACGCATTTTCGAATGGAGCTTGTACTAGGACATTTCGGCAGCACTCGGATTATGTCACGTCATTGGCTGCTGCTCGGCATGTAAGGAATTCGATTCACATCTTTTTACTGTTGATGATGTCTATATTGTTTTGATGGAAGACCGACACTGTGGCTTCGGGGGGCCTCGGTTGCGAAGTTTTCATCTGGGACCTTGAAGCTGCGACGGCTCCTGTGTCGAAAGCACGAAGTGATGGTTTGGAGGAAACCAGATATGACGGAATGCATAAGACCTCTGGAAATCTACTACATTCCGAGAGATCGACTGCTGCAATTACTCCTGCACAAACCTACGCTCCAATACCAGCAAAGGGACATAAACAATCTGTGTATGCCCTTGCCATCAACGATGCTGGAACCGTGCTTGTCTCCGGAGGCACGGAAAAGGTACGTTCTTGCTCGCCTTCGAACATTGGAAAGTTAACCTTTTCAATAGGCTGTAAGAGTATGGGATCCAAGAAGTGGTGCAAAGCAAATGAAGTTGAAGGGCCATACTGATAACGTTCGAAGCTTGCTCTTGGATCCGTCGGGAAGGTAACACACTCGAAGCGTATTCTTCATGCATTTTCTCATTGTCTTTTTAACAGATTATGTTTGTCAGGGTCTTCAGATTCAATTATCAGGTAGCTATACATCATACATGTTTATTTCCGACTGATAACTAGCGTCAATGCCAGGCTTTGGGATCTTGGGCAGCAACGTTGTGTTCATTCATATGCTGTGCACACTGACTCAGTGTGGACAATGGCGAGCACATCCTCTTTTAGTCACGTTTACAGTGGCGGCAAAGACTTGTCGGTATGTTTTAAAATCTTTTTGTAATTCATGGAGGTTATTTGACAGACTTTGTACAGGTTTATTTGACAGATCTTTCTTCTCGCGAGAGCATACTGCTGTTTACAGAACAGCATCCTATTCTTCAGATGGCGTTGCAAGATGACGATTGGCTCTGGGTAGCGTCGACAGATTCCTCAATTCGTAAATGGCCTGCACGGGAGAGAATATCCGCCAAAGCACTCCAAAAAGCAAATTCCTTTGTGGCTGGATCGCTTCCTTTCTCTCGTGCAAGAGCGTGGATTGATGGGTCCGCTCCGGTACGATTACGTTCGATGACTTTTAGTTTTTATAGCGTTGATTGCAGGCACCCCTGTACACGGAACCATCTTCTATTATTCCAGGCACACCTGGAATCGTGAAACATGCACTGCTGAATGACAAACGACATGTGCTTACAAAGGTACAGTTAACTTTTAAAGTTCAAACCAAACTGGTGTCTTTCCCTTGCAGGATACGGAGGACAATGTGAAGCTCTGGGAGATCACTCGCGGAGCTGTAGTCGAGAACTATGGAAAAGTATTTCTGCCCTGCAAAGTTTCTCTTACGCTTCATGCTCAAGGTTTGTTTGTAGGTCTCGTTCGATGACAAAGAAAAGGAGCTCTTTGAGATGGTAAGCAAGTTTGTCTTTCATTAACTTTTTATCAACTCAACCCTTGTGAAGGTGAGCGTGCCGACGTGGTTTACCATGGATACGCGGTTGGGGAGCATTTCTATACATCTAGATACGCCTCAATGCTTCTCGGCAGAGATGTATGCCGTGGATTTGCATGTTCCTGGGGCGTCTGAAGAGACCAAGGTAACCAAGCAGATATACAAGTGAAACTTACAAGTTGTGTTTGCAGTTAAATCTTGGACAAGAGACGTTGCGTGGTCTCTTTGCGCACTGGCTTTCTCGACGAAAGCAGAAGACGTCGACGCATCTAGCTAATGGGGACGCCTTGTCAAGTCTAAGGACATTGTCGGACAACGCTCATGACAACACAGACAGTCAAGTTGTGTTCGATTTTTCTACGTCCATCCCTCCCTCAATTATCACGGAGGGCTCACAGGGTGGACCATGGAGGAAGAAAGTGTCCGACTTGGAAGGCGTTGAAGACGAGAAGGAGCTACCGAGATGGTGCATCGACTGTGTAGCACACGCACAAATCCCTCCTCGTGAGCAGTCCAAGTAAGTACTTAATTGTTGCGTGAAAGTTCCTCTCCTCATTCCCTGCAATCGCAGGTGTAGCTTCTTTCTACATCCATACGAAGGAACTGCTCTGCAAGTTCTCACGCAAGGAAAACTGAGCGCACCGAAGATCCTAAGAATACAGAAGGTTACAAAGTTCGTGTTCCCTCGATCAAATCTCTTCATGATTTTTCATTCCAGGTGATTAACTACGTGCTCGAGAAGCTAGTTCTGGACAGACCTCTAGACGATCACGCCTCCGGTCCACAAATGCCTGGTAACGTTTACGATTACAGGCCCAGCTCAAGGCCGTGGCAATCTAACCCGAAGCCAGCGATCGAGATACTGTGTAACCAGCAGGTAAGCTCCCAGTTCTTAGCATTTTTTCCAAGATCTGGAGCTAAAACTACGCGCAGGTTTTGTCTCCCGATATGAGCCTGGCAACTGTGAGAACATACATCTGGAAAAAACCGGAAGATCTTTGCTTGTATTATCGAAACATCCAGACGCAAAGCCGGTGATAAGGAACGAAAGGAAGCGTCGGTCCAAACTAATCGGCACAAAGTTTGTACAGACACAAGAAAGGTTTTTTAAAGTGGCCTACCATTTTTTTTTTTTTGTTTCTCCACAAGGTGTACGGAAGTTCTTCCCCTTGCTAAGCCCGTACTAAGCTGAACGTACGGTTGCGATGGTGCCAACGTGGAAAGTCGATCGGACGGTGGGACAAGGGGAATCATAATTTGTGACCTGGATGGAGAGCAGAGCTATGGCGGGCGAGGAGCACGACGATGAAGGCGCTGCCCTGCGATCCCCATGGCGCTCGATTCCAGGTTCCTAGCCCCCATTTTCCAGGCCACGGATGGATCGATTGACCCGGAATCGCGGCGGGAAATCGTCGATGGAGCAGTGTATGGTAATAGGTTCTCCCTAGTTCTTGGCGCCACCGGCATTGGATCATCGCTGGCCCGTGCTTATGACTTTTGATCTGGGCGAGCTACGAAATCATAGGTCGAGATGGATGGATGCGACCGGGAAATGGTACGATTTCTATGAGGTGCTGGGGGCGCTTGTGAGTAGGATTATGGGGTGCTTTGGCTGCTGCTTTGGGCTGAGTAGGAAATCTACCAAAGCTTCGAAGCAAGCGAGCTATTATCCGGCAGGAGCTTCGCAAGAGCAGCTGCTCAAGTTTCCAGGGAGTGATACCGCGTCCAGTGGCAAGAGGAGTTCTTCGGCAAGGTTTTCGAGCAGTGGTCGGGAATTGGTGGGAGTTAGACTAGGAAAATCGAGCCAGGAAAATGGATGGTCTGTGGAAAACGCTGCTAATCCGGTGACCGATGTGAAGATCACTCGACGAGCGAATACTTCCCAGGTAAGTGCGCATTGTGTGCCTACAGAATCACGGTTAGAAAAAAAATTCTTGTGTTTTTTTTTTTTTTTTTGTAGAGCTACGATGGGAGTAAAATGATCAATCAATACGTCCGTCACGAAAGAATTGGGAAAGGGAGCTATGGGAAAGTGGTGAGTGGAAGTCTTTCAACTTTCTGTAGAAACATTTTATTCCCTTTCAGGTACTGCACCGTAGCTTGTTTGATCAAAAGTTTTATGCCATCAAGGTACTGAATTGTCTCGCACCATGTGCTAGATCTAACCGCTGTTTTTGAAGGTGTTTGATAAGTCGCGACTAGGGAAAATTCGGGTAGCCCCGTCTGAAACTGCAATGATGGACGTTCGTAGAGAAGTAAGTCTCTTGTTTTCTATGAAATTTTTCTACGAAGCATTATGAGATGTTCTTTCACTCTCATTTTCTGCAATGTTTTTATTTTTAATTTTTTCAGGTAGAGGTAATGAAGCACTTGAGACATCCTAACATTGTTAGATTGATTGAGGTCATAGATGATCCAGAGTGTGACCAGCTCTATATGGGTAAGATTGTGATTATTATGTTGTTGCTACTTATGTATACTTGTCTTTCAGTTCTGGAGTACATAGAAGGGCAACGAATGTTTAAACAATCTGGACCACCTGGTGGCCTTGGCGAGTCCACAGCGAGACGCTACTTCAGAGACATCGTGGCGGGTTTGATGTATCTTCACAACAATGTAGGGTCTACCTTTTCTTTGCTTTTTTGCTTGAGTTGATCGCGCATTCTATCAATCGACAGAAAGTTATCCATGGAGATATCAAGCCCGAGAACCTGATGATCACTGCCGAAGGCAGGATCAAAATTGGAGATTTTGGTATCAGTCGAACTTTCGAGGTACCACAGAGTTTGTGGTGTGGTGGTGAGATGAAAGTTTTTCTTTCTTTCTTTTGCCGCAGGGCGATGATGATCTTTTACGTCGATCTCCTGGCACTCCTGTCTTCACAGCACCAGAATGCTGTAAAGGTGTTTCTCGTGATTGGAGCTCTTCCGACATGACTCATGTGTGTTTGTTTTGTTCTTTTTATTCTCGGAAAGGCATGGCATATCACGGAAAGGCCGCGGACGTCTGGGCTCTCGGAGTGACTTTGTACTGCATGGTCACAGGACAGTATCCATTTGTTGGGGAAAACTTTCAGGACACTTATGACAAGGTAAGCACCCCGATGGATGGGTATCTAATCATTTGACACGCTAGCGCTTTGCAGATTGTCCAGCAAGAGCTCTCGATGCCTCCTGGCCTGGATCCCGATCTTCAAAACCTGTTGGAAGGACTTCTCTGTAAAGGTGCGAAGGTTTCATTGATGCCCAACTTGAGTTTATATGTAACTTTTTCCTTTTTCTTAGATCCCGACCAACGAATGACACTAGATGCTGTTTTGTGCCATCCTTGGCTCCTTAAAGCAAGCTCCTAGAAAGGTCCGTGGATGTAACGTGTCTAAAGTCGTTTGGTAACACTTGGAAATCAAATCCACAGGGGGCGTGATCTGTGCTTTTGCTTCATGGCATGGCACCAATCTCGACTTCATGTGGTTAAGAAACTGGTAAGAATTCCGTGTTTGTTTACTCGCTCTCAACTCGCAATCGTTGAATTTTCCTCCAGGAAGGAAGTTTTGGTAGACTACACTTCAGAATGTTAGCATTCCGGTCAAGAAGAAGTGGCGAATCACTTTCTCGGTAGCTTGTTTGTTGGAATCAAAACACCCAAACACAGGAAAAAGGCAAAGCTGATGATGATCGTCACGTACAATAAACACTCGCCACCATCGAGGAAGTTTTGTTCCAATCTAAGAAAACCTCATAAAAAAAAACAAGTTTGAGCCCAAAAGTCCGTGTTTGTTTTGTCTGTGCTCTCATAAATTGGAAGAATTAAAATCTCTTCGTTCCATTGATCATCGAGTGAACAAAAACAACGAAGTAAAGTTATCAGAGAGGAAAAGACTTCGTCTCTGTCTGTCAATCCAACCAGGACATCGCAGAAAGAAAGAAATCAAGACAAAAAAAAAAACGAAGAAAAAGAAGAGCCACAAACCTCCCCCAAGAACCAGTAGAGATGTTTGCTGCCGCTGTGTTCCAGCTCCAATCCTCCATAGCTCAGCTTCCAGTTCTTTCCTCTTCTCTAGATGTGAGCCAGCGAGACCGGGAACTCGTCGATAAAGTCCGACCACGCGTTCTTCACTTGATCCGGCTTGAGCGACTTTCGAGCTCTCCACACCGCGCTGTTGCACTTAAACCCGGATCCAAAAGCAATCTGCCAGATCCGGTCCCCGCGAGCAATCCTCCCCTTGGCCTCGCAGTAGGCGAGCTCGTACCACAGCGAGCTCGAGGAAGTGTTCCCCCAGCGGTAGAGCGTCATCCTCGACGGCTCCATATGCCACGGCGAGAGCTGGAGGTTCTTCTCCAGCTCGTCCAGCACGGCCCTCCCCCCGGCGTGGATGCAAAAGTGCTCGAACGCCAGCTTGAAGTCGGGGATGTAAGGCCGGACTTTCATCTTGAGCACCTTCCTCGCGAAGAGCGTGAAGAAGAACATGATCTGCTCGGACAGCGGCAGCACCAGCGGACCCAGCGTCGTGATGTTGGTCTTGAGCGCGTCGCCGGCCACCGCCATGAGATCCCGCGACAGTGAAACTCCCACCGTCCCCTTGTCGTCCTCCTGCTGGTAGACGCACTGGAAGCACTTCTCGTCGGCCCCCTTGTGAGTTCTCACCGTGTGGACGAGCTCGTACTTGGCGCGGCGTCGCGCGGACCGCTTGTTGGAGAGGAGGATGGCCGCTCCACCCATCCGGAAGAGGCAGTTTGGCACCAGCATGGAGCGCTCGTTGCCAAAGTACCAGTTGAGCGTGATGTTCTCCATGCTCACCACCAGCGCGTACGTGTTGGTGTGGACCTGGAGCAGATCCTTGGCGAGGTCGATGGAGATCACCCCGGCGCTGCAGCCCATCCCGCCGAGATTCAAGCTCGTGATGTTGCCGCGCATCCGGTAGTGATTGACGATCATGGCCGAGAGCGATGGAGTGGGATTGAAGAGGCTGCAGTTGACGACCAGCACGCCGATGTCCTTGGGCTTCACTCCGGTCTTGGCCAGGAGCTCGTCGATGGCTCCAAACATGACGATCTCGGCCTCCTTCCTCGCCTCCCTCATGCATGGATTGGGCGGAACGTTCATCACTGCCTCGGGGAGATAAGTGTCCTCGCCCAGCCCGGATCTCTCCAAGATCTTCTTCTGGAACTCGAGAGTGGTGTCGTTGAAAGCCCCCGAGAGCGTGGATCGCTCCATGAAAGTGGCCTTGGAGCACTTCCTCTCGTCGTCGGGCTTGTAGCACGCGAAATCCACGAGATAGACCGGGCGGGGCCGCGACATGAAGTAGAGCGTCGCCGCGAAGACGAGCGCCCCGGAGCACGCCAGCACGCTCACCAGATTGAACTGCAAGTGCTCCCACAGCTTCCAGATGTCGTCGATCCCCAGCCTGCCGATCTCCGCGGCCACCAGGAGCATCAGCGGCACCAGCAGGAAGATGAGCGCCCGCGACACCACATAGAGGTAGCCCAGCTTCACGTACTTGAGCCGCACGGACTGGAGGAAATCCGGGAGCCTCGATCTTACCCGCGGGGGACGATCCATTGCTGGACAAATGCGGCGCGCGGCTTGGCTTCTTCTTCTGTCAGATCCGAGCTTGGCGCATGAAACCAAAGATTTCCCTCTCTCCCACTCCTCCTTTTCTCCCTTCTCGCGAGCCAAGAACCCTAAAATCTGGAAGAATGGGCGGCATAGCATGGGCGGCATTTATATCACCGCTGGCGGTCCATTACGTACCACGCGGAACGCCAAAAGACCAGCCGGACATATCGCTATCGATTTTTACTCCTGGCCATAAAGAGCTAGCCCTAATGTTTGAAAAAATAAAAGACTGGGGATATGCTCGTTAGCTCGAGCTAGCCCTAAGTTTTGAAAAAATAGAAAAAGGGGATATGCCGCGCATCCGGTTAGCTAACAAACGCCCTTTAACTAACCCAGGGGGGTTAGGCCAAGAACTTAGGTTTTGGGCCACCTCTCTCATCGATGGCGACGATGACCAGCGCGATTCTTGTCCCTCCCGCGCGCTGCTGCTCCAGGTACTCCCCCCAATCGAGTAGATTACTCCCTCGCGACGCGATTTGGAGCGTCAGCTCCCGGGATTTCGCGCTGCGACGGGATGTCTCGGCTCGGGCATGGTGGTCTTCGAAGAAGAAGGATCAAGAACAGGCGGAGGTGACCGCTGCTACCTCAGAGACGGAGGTTTCGAAAGGAAGTGGGAGGAAGAATGCTGGGAAGAATGCGGTGGCAGCAGCGCCGGTTGTGAAAGAAGAGGTGGAAGAGGTGGAGATGAGCTGGGTGGAGGAGAAGACCGGGGAGCTTGTCCAGATGACCGGGAATGCCATTCAAGCGATTCCAGGGCCCAGGGTGGGACAGAGCTCCGTTCCATGGCTGCTGGTTTTGCCCGTGGCGTATTTCAGCGTGACTTTCGTGATCGCTGTGTACAGGACTGTGAAGAAGTATAGCTCTCCAAAGGCGAAGAAGAGAAGGATGGTAAAGCTCTCGGAACTCTTTCGTTTTGTTCTTTCGCTTTTTACGTGGAGATGGATGATGGATGGACTCATCTTTTTGTTTCAGATTGGAAAGAATGCCTTTTTGGTGACTTCCTTGGACAAGTATTTTCCACAGCGCCGTGAAGAATTTGACAGCAAAGTGCTCAAAGAGCTGGAAAGGAAGGTAGGCTGTGATTCCTTTTTTTGTTTCTGCTCTCCTTTTCACTGCGTGTCCTTTCCAGTGCTCTTTTGACTCAAAAGAAGTGCTCCGGAAGTATATTCGATACGCCATGAACGAGCGAGCTTTCACGCCGGAGACTGTCGCAGATCTTATCCATCTCCGAAGGATCACCAAGCTGACCGACAATGAGATTGCCGACGTCTTGAACGAAACCTCGAGGCGCGTGGTGAATGAGAATGGTCTGTGAAGATTTCGGCTTGAATCACGTCGTGACCGGGCTTTGCATGTAGGAACCGTGATGATGGATTTACGGGGACTCACGGAGAGGGGTGTCAAGCGGAAGGCTGCTGTTCGTTCTCTCTTTAGCAAGCTCCTATACTTATCTGAGGTGAAGATCTCTATACTCTGTGCTGTTTCTCACCACAGTTTCTTGTTCTCCAGTTGGACGAGTTCTGTTCGACGTCAAGAGACGCTCTGAAAATCAAAGAGCTTTTTGGAGTCACAGAGTACGTACTGCCCTTGTAGCTGTCTTGTATTAAAACATTCTCGGTTTTCCGTGCAGCGAGGATGCAAACAGCCTGCGCATTGAGACCCTGACCCAGCTTTCGGATATTGATTCACTAGACAAGATGGTGAATCCAGAAGACACGGCTATGGATGAAGGCACACCAGATTCAAAGGCGTCGTGACCCATGCCTTCTCGGGGTAACTTTCCACAGTTTTGGTAGCAATCATGTATCCGGGAATCTCGTCTTTTCCGTGTAGTATACTGTAAGTGTGATTTGAGTTTCAGGTCGTGCGCTTGGACTTTTTTCGTTCTGACCATAGTAAGTCCATTTCTTTCTCCGACGTGCTCAAGTCCCATGCAGTGAATTATTTGTAAACGCTGTGCCAATGTTTCAGGCTCGCGATATCCTTCAAAAGTTCAAGAGAACATTTTCGAGCTTGCGAAGCCATCAACGATTTCAAGCCCGCAAAGAAACCATCGCTTGTTTTCTCGATTGCTCTAGCAGCTCCATTGTAGCGCATGAGTGATGCGAGAGATGGTGTCACTTATTGAAAGCTCTTGGGCTCCAAATCACCTGGAGACATCAACTTTGGAATCAAAGTTCGAAAGTGATGGAGAAAATATTCATTCCACCGAACCGGAAGATTTTGAAGGACATTTTTCACCAACCTTGGTGTTGATCCTTTGATAAAAATCGAATCTTCTTCTGGTCAAAAAGTACGTACGTAAGCAAGCACCAAGATCTTTCGCTCTATAGGAAGATCAGGGCGAGTCCCAACTGGACAGTATGGGAACTTCTTATCCTTATCCTCCTCAAGGTAAGAGAAGAGTTTGAAGTTAATGATCTATGGATGAATCTTTCCTTCTCCAATTCAAGGCTATCCTCCTCCAGTGGCGCCCCCGCCGCAATACTATTACCAGGGGCCTTCTCACCGCGAGAAAGGATTTGCAGAAGGATGGTAAGCTCAGCGAGCACAGATTTTCTACCGGTTTTTATCACTCTTTTGGTCGTCTTGCAGTTTAGCTGGTCTGTGCTGCTGCTGGCTGCTAGAGATTTGTTGCTGCTGTGGCCCGCATATGTTTCTGGGCTGTTAGTATCAGTACTTTCTTAGTCTATGATAATCATATATTGACACCATGTATCTATCAGTGCCTGAAACATTTGCAATTATATGTGTTCTGAGAGACAATAGTTAATCATGTCTAGGAGCCAAAACTTGCTACCGGCACAACCACTTTCATAAAAAGGAGAATTTTAGTCGTAAAGATCCCTTTCTCGCTCTTCCCATCCTTGGTGATCAGGCTCCCAGTGGACGATAAAATGCTCAAAAGCATGCCACTGCCACTGTTCGCACCAGTGTGTGGCAATGAATGAACGCGTTGTAACATTTCACGCTGGTGAGATCCATCTATACCGGCGTGCTGGACGAAATCTGGGGCTTACGGACTGGCATATGGAGCCGTCGAGGATGGGGAAATACTTTGTCAAGCTCGCTGTCGCTCCGGGGTTTAAATGCAACAGCCCGGTCAGGTCTGCTCTCTTTTCTTAAAAAAAGATCTCTTTTTTTTTAAAAAGAAAAAGCCAAAAAAAAAAGCTTACTGCTTTAAAACAATATGACAAGTTTAACATTGCTTTCAAAGCTTCAACCTTCACAAGCTTCTAATTTTTTTTTCCATATATGTTAAGGCCAGAGAATATGAGACTCAAATTTCTCATAATTTTCTCTTTGTTTCGTTACCTTGAGGGCAAGCTTGAGGATGGTGGGACTGCAAATGTTATACCAGTTGGAGATCCACGGGATGTTATTTTGTTTACACTAGATCAAGTGATAGATTCTATTAGTCATGATTATAGTTACTCATATGGACAGGCATTCGCATATTTTAACATGATTGGGTCATTCCGTGTGCTTGTAGCTGCATGGTTTCTCAACCCTGTTAATGATGAAGGATATTGTAGTGGTCAATTTAACAGAAATGGTGGTGCTAGTGGAGATGACATAACAACTGGTTTATACCCAATTTATCATGTTTTGAAGGATAAAACTCAATGGCAAGGTTTTGATAGTTGTTAATGCGAATTTTATGGTTCTTTATTTTCTAGAGTATGGATAAAAAATACCTAAGATGTCAATAGAACAACTTACAAACAAAACTCAGATGGTAGAAAAAATTCCTCAAGACTTATATGATTGTTGGATTATGTACTCAAGCCTTATTTCTGGAGAGGATTATAATAAATTTTCTTTTATGAATCCTGGCACTTTGAAACTTTCACCAAATAAAAAGTATGAGTTAGTATTGCTTAGTAATTGTGAAATTCAATTATTAGATGTGCAAAATAAATTTGCATATTGGAATAGTAATACTGGTAATTATGGACAATATGGTTGTATATTAAGGCTTCAAACAGATGGTAATTTGGTATTGTATAAAAGAAATGGAGATCCACTATATACAATTAATAAATATTGCTCACCTTCACCATGTGAACTACCATCTATTCTTACTATACAAGATGATGGAAATTTAGTGTTGTATCGTAGTTTATCAGGGATTGTAGACTTTGTTATCTACTATAAAAAAAATAAATTGCTATGCATTCTATGTAGCAAAGTTTAGTTTTCTTAATAGTAGTGTTATTCTTACTTATTAATCCAATTAATCAAATAAATTTTATAAATATAATCATGTTTATAATTTATAATCACAAGATTAATCTTATTACATTTCAACCATTAGATGATAGAATAAAAAATAATATACTAGAAAGGGTTTCAGAAATTTTATAAATTATGAATATGTTTATAAATTATAAATACAAAATTAATCTAAATGAATAACAACCATTAGATGGTAGAATATTCTAGAATATCCTATACTAAGCAAACTTAATATATAAGATAAAATTACATTTAGATTTTTCTTTAATTTATGAATGTTAAATAGATATATTTTACAGTCCTAATAAAATAGATGATTTATTTTTTGAATTTAAAGTAGAATTGTTTTGTATGCTTAAAAATATGTGGAGGAGGTAAAAAAGTTTTATTTCTATTTTTGGTTTAAAACAATATGCTTTGATATTCTGATATATTCTACTATTTAATTATTGATATTTAGATTAATCCTATTTAGAAGCTATAAGATTATAATTTTTAAACTTTCTTAAACATCTTTTATACTTTATATACAGTTATATTATTTTGTAATTATAGATTATAAATATTTTTGTAGTTTATGAACTTTCTTAAACATCAATACTTTATTACAGCCCACAAAATGCTCAGGAAAAAGATGATGTGAATTCCTCTTCTTTGGATGAGGATCATTAAATATGATTTCTCTAACCTAGAGTTATTTTTCTTTTTGGATAGTTATACCACTTAGCAGCCATTAGCAAGGAAACTCTTTTTGAATCTTCCCTAGTTTTTCTATCGAAAACATTTTTGTGTTAAGAGTATGAACTCCTCATTGTTTTCTTTTATTTTTATTTTTTCTGTTCTTTCTTAGCTATGGGTTTACCAATTTAAAGGTGACAATTAAAGTGCAAAGAGAATTAAATAAAAACCTTAGCAAGTATTTCATTTTCTTTCATTAAAAAAGAGGTTCTAATGACCTCATCAATATGGAAAACAGTAACAAACTTCCACTCGAAAGTTAAGTTTGATTTTTAAAAGGTGCAAGTGTTTTAGAAGCAATGTGAGAAACAGAAACCAACTTTCTCTTTATCAAATTAAAATGATCTAGAACCTGCTGTATTATAATAATATACATTTAAAATACATAAACAAACTAAGTGTTGCTACAATGTAAAGTGCAACAGATTTTTATTTTGTTTCTTAGATTCTCCTCAGTTTTACTGGTGTGTTTTTTTGTAACAATTATTCTAAATATGCTAATATGATTTTGGTTTTTGGTTTATTATATTATGTCTACTGGTGCCTCTTAAGTTTCAAGTTCTTCTAGTTCTTCAATATTACAATGAAAGCTCTAGATGTTTCACCAGATTTACCATCATCTTTGAGAGAGGAGAATAATATGAATTTTGTGAATATCTTAATGTATAAAAGTGTGATTGGAATGAATTTTCTTATATATAAAAGGTCTACAAGTTCTTGTGGTGGTGTTAACAACCTAATTGAAGTTTCAGATGCTCTTCAAGAAAATCATATAATTATATGCAAATGTAAGTGGTAAGTGTTCGGGAAAAAATTATCACTAAAAAGTTATAAAGGTAAAATTAATACTGTTACATTTTAGACATAGTTTATTGCAAATGATGAATTCAAATATTAACAGACATTAGTGTTAAAACAGCAAACATAAGTTGTAATATTAGTATAAGAATTACAAAATCACTATTCCCACCTTAGTAAAAAGGCTTTTAGAGTTGATCAAAGGGCTTGGGACTCAAATGTAGCAGCACTGGGCATTTTGTGCCAAGTTGAGATGGGACTCCATTCAGTGTCACTCCTTTGACATTGAACAAACTAGCTGCATTATTTAAAGCACTTTCTATAGTGTTAAAAAAAACACACCATCAAAGTTACAGTTGCAGACGTCAGCGATTACCATGCTCTGTTGAGCTGTCGTTGTGCTGGCAGTCCAGGCTGGACAGGCCCAACTACCAATCTCGTCAGCAAGACTCCACATGCCCTGCAGCAAACAAAAGATAAGAAAACCATTGACCGCCAAAATATCGCCGAGGCATATCCCTCCCCCATTCAAACCCGTTCCCTCTGGTCAAGGAGGACCAAAGCAAAGGACCCAATGTAGGTCCTATTTCTTATATCACAAGGAAAGTGGACATTACAGTGGTGCCTAGTAGTACCCCTCTAAAACCAACCAACAAATCAATAGCCAGAGGCTGACATGCCACCCCGGACTCCATCTCCAACGCCACCTCGGGCCCCCATCTCGGGCACCTGATGCCACGCAATGAGTTCTCCGGCAACCAACCTGTGTTGTGGAAAAAAATGGGAAACCTTCCTCTAGCTCTCTGTACTCGTCTCCTCAATCTCTCGTTCTTCCCGTCCTCGTCGATCATCATCGCCGCGGCGGGGCTTGAGAGTGACCAGGCATCCATCCCTGGGGACAATGGTGGGCACGTAGAGGATCTCGTCGCAGCCGGGCGTCCGGACCCTCTCCCACTCGACCATGCTGGAGAAGAGCGCGGTGAAGAGCACGAGATGGTTGATGGCGTACCTCTGGCCGAGACACTGGTGCGATCCCGCGCCGAACAGCAGCCAGTTCCGCTTGAACGCCACGTCCTCGAGCCGCGCCGCCGAGAATCTATCCGGATCGAACGCGTACGGCTCCCTAAACCCCTGGAACGACGACTCCAACAGCGACGGGAAGACGATGGCCCCCTTGGGAACAGTGTACGAGTCCGTGATGGGGAAATCCACGCTCGCAATGTGTGGCACCATGGTCGCCGGCGGCCTGTAGCGAAGCACCTCCTTCACCACCATTTCCGTGTACTTCATCTCGCGCAGGAGCTCTGACCCCACCGGGGTGGCGGGGTCAAAGTTTGATCCAAATTCTCCTTCTCCTCCTCTGCGAAGAGATCTTTGCTCGTCGAGGATCTTGCCGAGCACTTGCGGGTTTGATTCGAGCAGCGCGCAAACCCACACGAGGGACGAGGTGGAAGCGTCCTGTGCCGCGAAGAGGAAGTCAAATATGTGCTGCCCGACCTGGCGGTCCGAGCTGTGCGGCGGCGGCGGCGAGCCCGACTCCCGGGCGGCGCGGATCTCCGCCAGCGTCTCCGCCATCCAAAAGTCCATGAGGCACGCCGGCTGCTCGCCCGGGGTGCTCATCCGCCGCTTGCTCCGCGCCGCGCACTCCCCCAGCGTCGCCACCAGCCGCTCCACCGCCTGCTTGGCGCGGCGGAAGGCGAAGCCCGGGAGATCGATCGGCAGCGCCAGGAGGCCGAGGTTGAAGAGGTTGTAATCCCGCGTGAAGTGCTCGCGCGCTCGCGGATCCAGGTATGGTCCCACGAACACCTCCTGGGACGTCTCGAGATTCATGTCGCGGCAGAGGCTCCTCATCGCCACTGGGCGCTGGTGGATCGAGCTCGAGGAATTGGCGAGCCAGCGATGGATGTGCTTGCGGATGGTGCGCTCCTGGATGGCGACGTAGACGCCCAGCGCCTTCCAGGTGAAGAGCGGCGCGAGACGGCGC